ACGACAAACACACTCAATTCGCCTATCTTTTCCAATGAGATGGCGGATCCACTAAAGTCGTTCACATCACGACAAACGCATTTAATTCGCCTATCTTCTCCAATGAGATGGCGAATCCACCAAAGTCGTTCCAATCACGACATTCTCTGTCACGTTAACATTAAACCTCTGACAAAATCCACTCGCCAATCCTCTTCCAAAGGATGGTGGGTCCTCAAAGTCGTTCCAATCACGACGTTCCCTGTCACGTTAACATTAAACCTCTGACACAATCCACTTACCAATCCTCTTCCGAAGAATGGTAGGTCCCCACAGTCGCTCCAATCACGACAAGACCCCATCAAGTTAATAATCACCTCTGATGATTGGCGCCGTTATTCCTACGAATAGCACAACCAAAGTAATAGCCTACCACGCAACGTGCAATTACTTCTGTCAGTAGTCATACTCCTACATCCCTGAACTATTTGATCTATCCCAGATATTCTAACATTCCTTTAGAATAACTGATGGGTAGTAGTCTACCATGCGATGGCTCCTACCACAATCAATTGTCACATTCCCACATGACGACAATTGTCGAAGGCGGTTCGGCAGACAATCCGTCTGTCGATTCCTAGGCAACAACTCGCCGAAGGGCGAGTCGAAGTTGAGTTCTTTGGTTGGCCGCAGAAGTGGACGATCGTTCTTTGCTGCAAGCCAAATGTTACTCTCTCGATCCCATTAGAGCTACAACGCAAAAATTGGGATTGACCCGATCCCACGTTGTGAGCAACCGAGTGCAAAGCAATAGCCTAAAACGACTAAATCAAAAGCAAGATAGTCGAGGGCTCGCCAAATTCAACTCAGATACCAGACAGCACAGACAAAGAAAAGAGGAGACTGTGCATACAAAGCAAGGATAAGCAAAATAAGCAAAAAAGCCACAACGGGCTAAGATTTACATAAGTTTTCAGTTTAACTGTGATGCCCGAGACACCAATTAAGTTAACAAAATAAACAAAAGAAAAGAGAACCTAGACAGTGCGAGCGTTACAGAAATTTTAGCAGGCTAAAAGAGTCAATCTTGGCCTTGATCGCCGCACGCTCTGCCGCACGTCGGGTCCTCGCCTCCTCCTTCTCCCTCTGTTGCCGCTTGACCAAGTCCGCCTTGCTGGCTTCTTCCTCTTGGCGAAGGAGTTGGAGCTCCCTGTCCACTCTCGCGGCGACCTCGCTGAGCCTCCTCGCCTCGAGCTCACGCTCCCGCAGTTTCACCTCACCGCGAAGAGAGCCGGCGTCCTCGAAGAAAGCCCTGTCTAGGTAAGCGTCCATCCGGTCCAGCACCGCTTGTTGTCGCTTCAGCAGACGTTTGAGCTCGACCTCCTTCGCTTGGATTTGCTTCGCTCGCTCGTTGCGCTCGAGCAGAAAGCGCAGAGAGGGGGGCGTGGGCAAGTCGGAGGAGTCCTCGTAGGCCAGTTCCTCGAGGTGGTACATCCGCCCCTCCACGCGCTCAAGCTCCCGCTCACATCGCCGTGTGAGCGAGGCATCACCAGCGTGGCGGACCGCCTCCAAGCCCGCTTCCACAAGAGGAAGCGCATCGTAGTATCGCTCGTCGCCCACGCTGACCGAGAGGGCAATCCCGTGCACCAAACCCACCAAGTGCTGTAGCGGCACGAAAGCAGGGTGAGCCACGGGGTCCGGAACAGTACTAATACATGTTCGAAAAGAACTCAACGGCTGAGATTCATTACCCCAAGCGATCAAGCGGTCCGAACGCCCTGCGACGCTTCGAACTCAACGCCAATAAAGGCTACTCTCGAGACACCAAACCGACCGATCGGATTGAGCGAGAGGCGAAGCGTTCAGTCGCTCCACCATTAAATGAGCATTAATGCGCCTGCAGAGTCTTGGCTGGCAAGCACTTGGGCCCGCCGACCGACACGTGGCACGAGCTTCGCCCGCAGTTGGATCTCCGACTGTTGGACAAACTCGCCACCAACCGAGTTTCGCCTACAGTTCAAACTCACCAGGCAAATCGAGTCGGGTTTCCAACACAAGCCCACCATCATACGGGTTTCGCCCGCAGCATAAACTCGCCAACAGTTGAGTTTAGCTTTCAAGCAAAACTCGCCGCGATCAAGTCTCGCCTGGAAACAAACTCATCAATCAATTGAGTTTCACCAGCAATTCGAATTTGTCAGGAATCGAGTTTCACCATTTTAGCGAACTCGCCGTCGCCCTGGTTTCACCGATTGCATAAACTCATCGGAGCAGAGTTTGGCTTCGAAAGTAGACTCGTCGTCGTACAAAGGACTTCGCCCGCGATACGAGATCGTCTGCAATTACAGAGCAAAACACTGGAAAGCGACATATCCAAAGAGCATGCACACAATGAGCGGGCACAAACCTCATTGATGCTTTAAGACAATACATTTGAACAAAGTTATGGTTTTTGCAATTGCAAAAGTCATAATATTACGTTCAAAGAAGCAAAACATGCACCCAGTGTTTAAGACAATACATTTGAACAAAGTTATGACTTCATAAACAAACAAGTCATAAACAAAATGTCTTACATAAAACAAAGGTCTCAGTCGAATACGCTAAAAGTGGAGATCTCTTCTTTGACTGCCTCCACCCGGCTCGCGTGGTCTTCCCGAGCTTTACCTTCAGCAGCCTTCCGAATTCGGTCTTCGCGGCTCGACCTGGCGGCAGCATCCGTCTGGCGCAAGGCTTGCAGGCGTCGAGTTTCCGCCTCAGCATTCTTACTGACCTTTATAACGTCAGACTGGAGCCCCTTCCACTTCGCCTCCGCCTGTCCTAATTCGGCCCTCAGGCGAGCCATGGTGCGGTTGAGGTCAATAATTTGCTCCTCTAGCAAATGTTGTTGACCCACCCAAAAGTTGGCGACAGACTCCAAATCCGCTATTTCTTTAGAGCGGGTCTCCTGCTCCAGGGCGTCCTGATGCCTGACATGGACCAGGCAAGACTCCATGTTGGCTTCCGGACCTTCCCGTAGCAAGGTCTCTAACTCTATCATGTGTGGCTCCAAGAGACGAAGTTCACGCACGCAGCGGGTAGCAAGCTGATTTTCACCCGATCGCCGTAAATCAGCCACGCGATCATAGAGAGACTGCCTAAAGCTGTCGAAACTGCCCATGCCAAGTTTGACAAGGGAAATCACCTGCCTCACAGCGCTCTCGAACTCTTCGATGCGAGCCTGCCAGGACAAGGACTCGGTGGGAACAGGCTCTTGGCACGGAGCGAGCGCCGTGATGGGCGGAATTTCGAGGCAAGGTTCGGCTCCCGGCTGGGGAGCAGGATCTGAAGCAGCGGAATTCGCAGGGCCCTCAGATTCGTCGTCCGAGATCAGGATAGGCTCGGCCGCATGCTCCTCGGCAGCCGACGCCTCCTCTTGACCTGTAAAACACGACAACAATACGGGGAAGAATCAGAGGAAGAATACCTACCAAGATCACGCGAAAGTCGAAGCAGGAAGATACCTTCAGCCGCGGCGGCCTCAGCAGCGCCTGAAGAAGACGGCTCCTTCCTTTTCTTGGAAACGACCCTCTTCACCTTCGGTGCCATCAGGAGAAGGAGGAAAGGGAAAATTCGGGTTTATGAGGGAAGATGATGAAGAGGCTGTAGATCCTCTTAATAGAGAGTAGGGGCGTTAAATACCCTACGAGTCCTAGACGGTTACTCAATATTCGATTAGACCGTTCGGGGCTAAAGCAGTTGAAGGGTAAGGACGAACAAGATCTGACGGTTCACGACCACGATCTGCAACAACGGCCCGAATCGGGCGCGAGGGACGAAGAGGCCCACTACCTCGCATTAATGCGAAACGGCTAGCCCACGTCTCCTTAACCGGCGTACACGTGGATTAACACGTGGCCCACTGAAAGCTGAACCCGATCAGAGCCAGGTTCGCCGTTAACTCCTGCAAATCCGCCTGCGAACAAAATTTGCCTGCAGATGAAGTAAACTTGCAGCAGAAACTCACCGGCAAGAATTCCTCTACAGTTGAGGTTCTCTTACGGTCAAATTCTGACTAATGCATGATTGCAAAAATGGAGCACACACACAAATGACAATAGGCCAAAAAACAAAGGGATAATTTCATTCATAAAAAAAGAAGTCCTATTACAAGCGGAAAATTAAAGGCGAACTACAGGGATTTCAACTTCAGTTCCGCCTTATGAATTTCTTCAGCGTGGCGAAGCTCAAGCCTTCTCAGGACCTCTCGACGAATATCTTCCTCTGTGCACGAGATCAAGTCTTGAATGGTCTCCCTGACATCCTTGAGAGCTCGATCCTTCTCCTCAACAGAGCCGGTGGTCAATCGCCGGCGAGACTTAACGCCCTCCAACTCTTTTGCCACGTGATCACGAGCCTTCTCTTGAACGGCCAGGGCAGCCTGTGCTTCGGCTACAACCTGTTTCAGCCTCTCTACTTCGAAGGAGAGTCGGGAGAACTGGCTATCGACCGTTTCTTCATCGCGGGCCACCCGTGCATCCTCGGCTTTGACCTGCTCCGACTCTGCTGACAACTTCAACTCTAGCGTCATGTTCTCGTTCAGGCGGCGATCACGATCCGCCAAAGCTACTCGAACTTCGCGGGAGGCGAGATCAACAAGAGTGGAACTCTCCGCACGAAGAGCGAGCAGCTGCCGAACAGCCCCCTCCACTTCGTTCAGACGCTAAAAATAGGGCCTCGCCGCGGTAGCGCCGAGCCTCTTACGCAAGAAGGACGCATCGTGTTCAAGAACTTCCTTGAATTCTTCGAAGGGGCAATTCTCCTCCAAGACCAGCCGGGTGCAGTGGGCCAAAGTATCTTCAAAATTGGCCAGAGCTCGTGCCACCTGCGTTTTTCGCCAGCGTTCCAAGGGAGAGAGGGCGACCTCCTCCGCCGTAGACGAAATCACGGTCGAGGTGCCTATAGCCATAACCGTAGAAGTGGTAACGGGCACCACCGGAGACGGTGCGACCAATGACACCCTCGGTGCAGTGGTCACAACGTCAACGGCCGCCGTCGACGGGAGCAGTCACCGATGCCGCCAGAACAGCAGTAGCGGAGTCGCCGGTCACCACCGATAAGGAAGTGGCCATCAGCCCCATAGGGGTGTCCCCTCGAGCTGGAGACTCTCGCACCGAGCGCTCAACCCCGACCGGTGCTCCCTCGAAAGGGGAGGTTCCCCTTTGTTGGCCTGCAGAAACCAATACTTCCTCTTCGCTCGACAGGGCCTCATGTATTGAGGCGTCGTCGTCATCCGCCTCCGATTCGCTTGGATGACTCGCCCAAGTGGTTGGGCCCTCCTTACCTGTGGCTACGTCAGAAAGTTCGGCAGTGGGTATAAGGGAATTTTTTTCGTTAACAAAGAAAAAAAAGGGAAAACCCCTAGCACAGAAAGGCCAACAACACTAGGGCCCACGCTTACCTGAGCCCGTAAGCCCCTCATTGTCTCCAGCTTCTTCCTCTTCGTCGGAAGGAACGGAGATCACTTTCTCGACCGCACCTGCGTAGATCCAATACCAATGTCAAAAGGTGAAAGATCAACATTGCGGCCAAGGATACTATCGCAAAGATTACCTCCTGATGCAGACGCAGAAGCCGTCGAGACTCTCGTCTGTGGCCTCACGCCAGACAGCGGAGAAGCGCCCTTCGGAGTCTCTTGAACTGCCCCCGGTGCGGCAGGAGAGGCGGGCGCACGACTCCAGACCCAGACGAGCCACCTAGGGCTCCTCATCGAGAAACGTCATCCGACCCCTGTCGGCTCGGACGGTCTCGACCGTCTCATCACAGCGGGTCTTCTTGGCCGCCTCCACACGGAACTCTCGGCCACTGCTTCCCGCTGACGCTTGAGAAGGAGCGACTACTCGGGGATAGCAGAGCCCCCATTCGTCCGATTGTCGACTCTGGACTGGAGCTCGAACCTTAGGACCTCAGATTCGTCTAAACCAGCGTCAAAGCTCTCAGGGTCCTCACTAGATCCTCCGAGAACAACTCCTTAGCTTTTGGTGGCCCCTTCGCTTGAAGAACGGAGAGAACCTGACAGGACGATCGCGGTCCACCAGACATGCAGCTCTGGAACCAAAGATTAGCAGGAGTACGCTAGCGCCCGATACCACCGCCAGTATAAGAGCGTGTGGTGTAAATCGCGGTCTTCGCCGGGCAACTCAAAGCGAGCCTGGGTACCTCCAGCATGGTCCAGAACCATCCCGAGCTCCGTCAACAGTCCTTCCTTCTTGAAGTGTAGGCGGGGGTGGCGTTACCCACAAACAATTGATCATACCCAACTGCGGGCAAACCATGCAGGGGATGTATGGCTCGAGATAGCATGTAGGGCCCGTTCTCAGAATGTGATACCCCGGTCGGATATTCACCAACCAGCGAAAGGCACCACGAGTGAGGACCGTGTAGTGATCCGCCGTCGGCGCATCCTTGAGAGACTCTCCATATCTGCCCCCGCTGAAATAAGGGAAGGAGCGGCGAAAATTATAATGTCCGAAGTGGGAGAGCGTCTTCCTTGCATCAGGGATGTCCTTGCAGTTCCAAGAGCACCTCTCCAAGCGCTGGACGAAGGGGACAAACTTGTCGCCCTGAAGCGCCGCCGGGGCGCTCATCAAACATTCGTAGTGATATACGAACCATGCCATCAAGTAGGTGTACGACAGCCCCACCCTAGGATTGGGGGTTCTGATAACTTCTCCTTCCCCCTCGTCGAGGACCGACACACGGCAGAATTGGGCCGTCAGAGTGCGGAGCCCCCGGTGAATGCACGCTATCGTCACCGATACCAGGGAGTAAGACTTCCCGTGAGCTAGGCAAACTGCCGGATACACGACCTCCACAGGAAGAGCCTCAAAGGAGTGAGTGGGGATTACGCACCTCTTCAGCCATAACATGAGGTACCCCGCGAGTAGCGCCTTCCTCGAGATGAGAAACTTCGCCTGATGATGGAATGAGTGAAAGACCGTACCAGACTTAAACCCGCCCTCGTCGCGGTCAAGAGTCATGGTGCTTCCTTCTTTAGCTGTCCTCGCCTCCACTTCGGGCTGGTCGCACGCGCCTAACGGGAGAGCGGGATTCCCCTTGACATCGTTCCCCGGGAACAGATAATCAGCCCAATTCTTGTGGCTGATCCCCGGGGTCTTCTTCTTCTTCCCTTTGTGATCCGAGGCCCCTAAGGTACTGAGGCATATGTGGTAGTGGCAGAGTAACTCCCACAGAGTTTCAACCGCCAAAGGGGAATGGTCCGACAGCTGATCGATCTCATCTTGATCGGGGACGTACTCCTCGTAAGGAAAGTCTCCCAGAGGCAGCTCCGACACGTCGTACATCTCGTGAGGTGTGATACCAAGCTCACCATTGGGGGTGAAAAATGTGCCGCTTTCCGTGCAATACAGTTCCAGGATGCTATGGAACTGAGAAGCGTTGATCCGCAGGCCATGTCGAGTGGCCTCGATGGCCACATACAGCTCTGTGTCCTTGAGGTCAGCGTTTTCGGCCAGAACATAGTCGGTGATCTTGGACCACCACGTGTCGCTGCCAGGTGCAGAATAGACCCACCCCGGGGCTCTAAAGTCCTTCGGGGGAAAGCTCCCACCAGCTCGGAAGAAGCGGTGACGGAAGGTCTCCGCCACCGCTGTCGACTCCCCCACAGGCGGTTCAGCGGACATTAAGCCAGGGCGCAGACCCGTCACGCGCTTGCATGAGCTCTCCACTCCATACCCAGCCGTAGAGCCCGTAAAGATGCCACAAGTGACCCCGTCCTGAGTGGGGGTCAAATCCTAGTTCATCATCCGAGGAATCGCGAGGGATCGCAGTTCGACAATCGAAAACCCTCTCGACATGCTGGGGAGGTAGTAATGAGTCCCCTCGACCGTGCGGAACCACTGGCTCTCTTTGAGCAATAGGACAGAAGGGTCGGTCATAGAGTCACCGAACAAAAATTGAGGTTTCGGCAGCTCTGCCCTGGCCTCATCTGTCAGCGCCGCATTGGTCGTCAGCGTGACTCTCTGTACCAGACCATGCGGCTTATCAGCGGTGAATACGGGCACTGGAGCCAAAGAAGGAAATCGAGAAGGTGCCGTGTAACTCGTAGCCCCGGCGTGGCCAATGGCCACACCCTCCGGAAAAGCCTCATTGGAAAAGATCGCTGCAAGAAAAGAATAATAAAAAAAAAGAAGAAAGTCAATCGAGACAAAATCCGCTGTAGGGGCAAAATCGTCCATCAAACAGAGGAGGGCGAAATCGCCTGTCGAAAGGGGGAACCCACTTCGAGCGAGGTCTATCCGTACAGACTATACTCCCCTCTAACAGGAAAGGGCCGAACTCGCCTTACGAAAAGGGAGTTCGCCTCCTTTCCGCTGAAGGATTCGCCCGCGGAGACAGTAATCATCCTCTAAGGGCAAATAGGGCAGACTTTGCCCCAAATCGGGGAAGCTACCAAGCATAATGAGTAACCCTCATCTCCCTAAAATCCTACGCCTAAGACCTACAAGAGATCGTCCAACGAACCCATCAACATACCTGGGCGCGACTCCAGAGCACCGGCAGGCATGCCGGCGGAGAGACGGTCGGAGTAACGTCCGGGGCCCGCACCTCTCACTTTGCACCTCTTAGATTTCGGAGCAATTGTAGGATGAAGCGGGAATTCTTTCCTTGGAGGTTCCTTTCGAGATTTGAGAGCACGGTAACTACCAATGGAGGAAAATGACTGATTTAGAAGGGCGGAGTTATCCACGTGGCCACGACTGCCCTCGAAAGGCGAAAACCCTAACGGAGACGTGGCCACGATCAAATTCGACGGCCCAGATCACCCTCGGTATATCGAAGGAACCGAGGTTGGCGGTTGCATCCGACGGTTGAGTTCGAAAACCACGGCCACGATGCGTCGCGGGGCGAAACACCACGACCCGATGAGACCGCACCGCCTTAGCTGGGAAGCACAAAGCCCTATCGGCAGACACGTGGCTCATCTCCAGTCAGATCTGGGCCCGCCTCAAAAAGGAAGGGTTTCGCCTGCAAATACTTGGCATGACCTCGCGAGTTGCACGAAACTTGGCTCCCTAAAGACTAATTTTGCCTTGACGATTCACTCGCCACTAAAGGTAAAATTACAAACGAAGCCAATAGAATGACCTCGCTTAAACGGTTAAAACCCACGCCTCAGACGGCTAAGGGTTAGAGCAGAAATCTTAGCATTAAGCCTAAGAGAAACCGTTCAACAACTCACTATACTGAGGGGAATAGTATGGCTAGCCCGATTCAAACGGTGATCGGTAAAGGCACATCAAACCCGTTGATAGCTGAGGGTTTGCTAAAAATCCTAAAAGAAACCCAAGGGCACTTGCCCCGCCGAAGTTTTCTACATTCAAAGTATTCCAGACCCCATGCAAGCCAGTTTAGGTCTGAAAACTTTAAAGGGGGTCTTGTAGACGGTAAAAAAAATACCTCTGATGAGCCTACAGGAAATTCGCCCACAAGAAGTCGCCTGCCTAAGCCGCACATCGTCAAACGTGCTCGGTTCCAGATTCGCCTAATGATCGGCTCGCCTGCACGAGATAAGATCGGTTAGGAAAGCGGAAGTTCGCCTCTTACGCGACTCGCCTGCCCGAGTCCAAAGGCGAATCCGCCAGCAAGCCCCAAGACCGTCAGTACAGCTGGGTATCCACTACCCCACGTGCTGAGATGGACCTTCCTATCTCTCTCGACCCGAAGGGAGAGGGCACAGTACCCTCAGACCGTCAAGCGGCCGCTCACAGTACGAAGGTCTGGACAGGTGTCGAGTCAACCTGAGCATTCATAAATGCGACTCACCTCGGCTGTCTGAGTCAAGAGCTGGATCCGCCGGCACTCGGCAAGTTGGCTAGACCTCTGCGAACTCATAAATGCGGTTCATTAATGCTGGTCAGGTCCACTCAGATAGCAGACGGCCATTGCCTCATATACAAGGGTGGGCCTTCCCATTTTAGGTGACAGGACATAAAGCACAATCCCTCGAATGACCATTCATGGTATCGAGGAGCAGCTAGACATCTCTGAAGAAGATGTGGTCACATCCCATAATTCAAGGATGAGTCAAGCTGTCCTTCTTCCATTTAAAAGCCCCTTCTAGCACACTGGAGAAGAGGTCGCAAAACTTGGAGAAAAAGAGTTGAGACCAAGCTGTTAGCAGATCCTTGCATTACAACACCACTGCCTAGTTCTGAGCTCCGATCGCCGGCGAACTAAGCAGACCCGAACTCCATCGATTCGAGCTTTTACTGCGAACTGAAGCTCTCCAGCAACCTCGATCGAACGGTCCAAGGGAAGCAGACTCGACACGAGCATCGAGCGAAGCGTCCTATAGCCACCTAAAGTCCCCACACAAAACAAAGAGGGCTTTCCCTCTGCTTCTGTTATAAACATTTGATTTGTTAGTTTGTAATAAGCCTTCTTATTAATACAAACGAACACTCCCTGTTTTCGGGAAATCAAATTTTCACCCTACATCACCATCCGACAGCCCCTCGTCGTCGTCGTTGCTACCGTTGTACTACAGTAGCTACGCCGAGATCCCCGCGCCGTCGAACCCATCGCCGATGTCATCGTCCAACTCTACAAGTCAACTGTCAGATCCGTCGTCGTTACCTCCTCTTGCTGACGTCGCAACCCCCTTCAGTCTAGATCCGTCTCCACAGCGCCGTCACCACATCGTCGATAGGCCCCATTGGCCTCACAGGCAAGATCCCGTTACTTAGC